GCCTGGTCAACTTCTCCAAGATGAGGATGGTCAGAAATGCACCTCACACCTCAGCAGGAAACGCACCTCTGATTGGTTCTGATCTGGTTCTGATTGGCTCTGATCTGGTTCTGAATTAGCTCTGATTGGCTCTGATATGATGCTAATTGGCTCTGATTGGCTCTAATTGCCCCTATTGGCTCTAATTGGCTCTTATTCAGCTCTGATTGGCTATAATCTGGCTCGGATTGCCCTATTGGCTGTAATTTACCTCTGATTTAGCTCCAATTGGCTCTAATTGGCTCTGATTGCTTCTGATTGGCTCTGATATGATGCTAATTGGCTCTGATTGGCTCTAATTGCCCCTATTGGCTCTAATTGGCTCTTATTCAGCTCTGATTGGCTCTGATCTGGCTCCGATTGGCTTTGATTGGTTCTGATTGCTTCTGATTGGCTCTGATCTGGCGCTGATTGGCTCTGATTGGCTCAGATTGCCCCTATTGGCTCTGATTGGCTCTGATTGGCTCAGATTCCCCCTATTGGCTCTGATTGGCTCTGATTGGCTCAGATTCCCCCTATTGGCTCTGATTGGCTCTGATCTGGCTCAGATTGTCCCTATTGGCTCTGATTCCCCCTATTGGCTCTGATATGGCTCTGATTGGCTCTGATATGATTCTAATTTGCTCTGATTGGCTCAGATTGCCCCTATTGGCTCTGATTGGCTCTGATTGGCTCTGGTTCCACATTAAAACATTTTTTTTCCTGAGTTGGTTAAAGCTCAGATGTCCCAGCTTTCCACAGCACTTGAATGCACCACAAGGACTGCTTTGGTTTTATTAGATGATGTAATGTTTTACATGCACCTGCATTATTATTATTTTTTTTTTTAATGAACATTAAAAAAAGATTAAATCATATATGATCTCTTTAAAAAATAAATACATTTTTACCCCGACCTGAACGCCCCACGTGAATGAAACTCTGCGGGGCCTTGTGCACGTGAGGCCGTGCGCGTGCACGTGTTTAAGGGGCTTTTTGGTGACATGTGTGAGTCTGGAGGTGAAAATCTGTGGAAAAAGGCTCAGATTTGTGATGCTTTCAGGTGCCCTGTGAGCAGCTATTTATTTTTTATTTTATTTATTTTATTATTTTTGAGCAGCCATTTTTAAACGACCCTTACCTTTCCTTTCCTCTCAGATTTCTCACATCATCAGGGAGATCCGTCAGTTCCAGCAGGCCCCGTACCGGATAGAGCACCAGCCCAAGGTCAGTGCAGGAGGAGGGAGCTTTCACAAATATAAAAATACACCTGAAATCCTCCAAAAAACCTATCAAATATCTGCCTCTGGTGCCTCCAGGTGACCCAGTTCCTGCTGGATAAGACGCTGGTGATGGATGAAGACACCCTCTACGAGCTCTCGCTCAAGATCGAGCCTCGAGTTCCACCCGGATAGAACCGACCGCCCCAAAACCAGGAAAAACCAGGAAAAACCAGGAAAAACCACATCTCCACGTCCGCCCCAAAACCAGGAAAAACCACGTCTCCATATCCGCCCTAAAACCAGGGAAAACCAGGAAAAACCACGTCTCCATGTCCGCCCCAAAACCAGGAAAAACCAGGAAAAACCACGTCTCCACGTCCGCCCCAAAACCAGGAAAAACCAGGAAA